GAGAGAGTCGGCATCCTGCAGGCTTGGCGCCTCGTGGCGCATTCTGTAATCAGCGACTCATTGGGTGAAGCGCACAGCTGAGGCACATTTCACTGATCACCTTCCTTCCCTGTTTAAACTCCTGGCAGACGCTCTTTCGTCGTCAGAGCATTGTATTGGTTTATTTTAACGTTACGTGATTTCAACTAGTGATGGCCGATGAGGCTTTGTTGACGCTTCGACACAGTATTCACACAAATGGTTCATTACTGGAGGCCTCAATGACACAGTGCTCGAGTAATGAACCATTTGTGGAGGATCTAGTGGTCAAGAAATTGAAGTGCAGTCAAGACGTGTCGCTTATTGGTTCATGGATTGTTTGGGATTTGATTCGCCAGGCACATTCCTGTTCGACTACACTACATGGTTGTATGGTTTCAAGCTGACACAATAAAATATAAAATAAACATGGACAAATGTTGAAGGCCATGTTTCTTATGTGGCACCTCTGAGTGTAACCCTATATACTCCTCCCTTATATTTTGTGTTATGAAAACATTTAAATGGTGCTACTACATTCATGAGATGTGCTCTACAGATTCAGACAAATGTCATTTTCATATGGCACTGGGGCAAATACAGATTAGAGTACGGACCCTGGAAAGGTGTGTTTTGGGGTTCATTGGTAAAGAGGTTCATGGGTATGTGGGTAAAGAGGGTGTGCTTGAAGAACAGGGCAGTGGGTGTGCTTGTGTAACTGTTTATGAGTTTTTATTGAGAAATAACAGTCTGTGGCTGCAAACTCTGCCGCACTGGTGCCCCTTCATTCATTCTGCAGAAAATGAGCACACCTGGCAACAGAGCAGGTGTGTGACTTCATTATCTTTTAAAAGGTGTTTTGTTTAATTGCATTTAGTTGGTAATTTTTGCTGAATGTTAAAGCAGGTTTGCGTTTCTTCCAGTTGTCACTGAGAAGCAACGAATGACTCGGTCAAGTCGGAGGTGAGTGCTCTGTACATACACACACACACACAGTGTATGCTGCAGATTCACTGTTGTCCTGCCTTTCATACACTCAGGGTTTGGTTGGTGTTTTAAGTGATGGAGGGGAGACTGATTCATTGTCTTGTCTTTTGAAATATGTGATCCACTCCCTGGTTTTAGGTCACGTACTAAATGTAAATCACCAGCTACTGTAGAGGGAGGTCCTACAAAGAGGTTCTCTCCCCCCAAAAAAAGTCAGAGTGTAAGATGTGAAATCTGCCGTGTAAAGCTTGCAAATGGCAAATATGAGGATAAACACACAGTATTTAAGGATTTCTTAAATATAAAGTAATGTGGAATGTCTTTTACCTTATGGGGTTTTTCTTTCTTTATAAATAGGCAATGAGACCCAATACGAGATTGTTTCTCCACACTGTGCAAAAGAATGAGATGCTAATGATGACTCCAAATTCCCTCGGCTGTACTGCTGTTATGAAGTCCTTGATTAAACACACCACTCTGATAAAGGTTGATCCTAAGGTAATTTAGAAATTCAACTTCTAGCAAAGCAGCAACATTGCAACTTTTCAATGCCACCACTATGGTGAAATTGAAAATATTCACCTCCATTTGTGTTCTATATTACATTTTTGATTTATCAAATTGTGGTATTCTCATTTTGGATATATTTTCTCCCCTTCTCAGTTGAGTGCTGGTATAGTGGTAAGTGTAATTCTGAAATTGGTGAGCATTTGGTGGGGTGTAATATTCCACTGTGCTGTGGATTAAATGTGGCCTCATTTAGCACATGTTGTATAAGCCCCTTTCCCACTTCCACATCTAAATGTAAATGTTCAGGTGTTTGCATCAGAGCTGAAACTAAGGCTCTGGCAGTTTGATGGCTGCAGATTTTAGCAAGATGTCTGTTAAATTTGGGCTCTAGTGAGAACAGAAGCGGTCATAGTCCTGAACAAATTAGTCAAGTTTAATGCAGTGTAGAAATGGACTGTAGGTTACCCTGTTTATTTACAAGAAATCAAAAACAAATCATAACTGAACCCTTGAGTCTTTCAGGGTCCATGTGTAAAAGGGGCTGCTGTACAACACTAAGTGCACTTGTTAGTTGATGACATCTGATCCTAGGGGTCACTAATGTTTCTCACTACAATCCTTTATAATCCAACAACCCTTCAAATCACCTGCATTAGCTTTGGTAACCTCACCATTGGCTTTGAAACATAATTTCCTCAGAAGTAGAAACTGAAGTAAAAATCCTTCTTTACCAGAGGCCATGTTACGATGACCTTGGATAGTGTAATTTAAGATTCTGCTGAAAGTCATGTCATTGTCCCTTCTCTGGGGGATATTTTGCACTGTGTTTACACCAAAAGCATTTCAGCTGCATTTTTCTGAGATGCACGCGTCACAGGACCTGAAGCATATTTCCACCAAAACAATAAATTCACTGGTTCCAACCAGCATTTCATTAAAATGGAACGCATCAAGTAAATGCAGTAGGAACATTATTAGTTGCATTAAGCCTACTGAACATCTCGTTCATTCAGTGTAATTGTTCGGTTTTTGTCCCCACCTATTACAGTATGTTAGCATGAACTGTTTTCTAAATGTAATCATTTTTATTTTTCTGCAGACAAAAGAATGCCACAAACTGGAAGCACTTGGAAAGAAGCAGGAGGAAGAAAATGGAGAAGAAACAGGAGGGACTTAAAAGGTTAATGCAGCATCCTCCACTCTGCATAGTTGAGTAGTTTATCTGTCTTTAAATAAATATTTAAATTTTGTGTTCTAGGAAGAGGGATGAGAGGTTGAGTGGCTGAGGCCAAAGTAAAACAACAGAGAGGAAGGAAAGAAGCAAAAAATGGCTCAGATTGATAAGAACAATGATGAGGTATGCAATAAATTAGGTGACTGTGAATCACTGTTCACCTCCAAACAGACTGAACGACTTTGTGTGATTTATTTTTTGATATTACTTTGTGCAGCGTCTGGCACAGGTAAAGGCCAAGAAGGTGGCCAGAAAACATCAGGAGCTGGAACAGAAGAAATTGGAAGAAGAGCTTAAAAGGAAGATTCAACAAGCAGTGAGATGATGCGCTTTGATAATTTGTGATTTGTTTCATCACATATACAACTCTCTGCCACTGAACAGTTGGGCTGGAGATTACACACTGTTTAGCATGTCCACATGTCAGTGTCCCCGGCTCAAAAACAAAATTTCATTGTACATGTTACAATGACTAACAAAGCTTCTAACAAATCAGTTCTTATATTTAGTGCACTAAGATTTTTATATTGCAGTAACCTAAGACACAGGACCATGTATTTATATAAACTTTTATTAGTTTGCATTTTTTATTTTGTATGACTATTTACAAGAAATCAAAAACAAATCATAACTGAACCCTTGAGTCTTTCAGGGTCCATGTGTAAAAGGGGCTGCTGTACAACACTAAGTGCACTTGTTAGTTGATGACATCTGATCCTAGGGGTCACTAATGTTTCTCACTACAATCCTTTATAATCCAACAACCCTTCAAATCACCTGCATTAGCTTTGGTAACCTCACCATTGGCTTTGAAACATAATTTCCTCAGAAGTAGAAACTGAAGTAAAAATCCTTCTTTACCAGAGGCCATGTTACGATGACCTTGGATAGTGTAATTTAAGATTCTGCTGAAAGTCATGTCATTGTCCCTTCTCTGGGGGATATTTTGCACTGTGTTTACACCAAAAGCATTTCAGCTGCATTTTTCTGAGATGCACGCGTCACAGGACCTGAAGCATATTTCCACCAAAACAATAAATTCACTGGTTCCAACCAGCATTTCATTAAAATGGAACGCATCAAGTAAATGCAGTAGGAACATTATTAGTTGCATTAAGCCTACTGAACATCTCGTTCATTCAGTGTAATTGTTCGGTTTTTGTCCCCACCTATTACAGTATGTTAGCATGAACTGTTTTCTAAATGTAATCATTTTTATTTTTCTGCAGACAAAAGAATGCCACAAACTGGAAGCACTTGGAAAGAAGCAGGAGGAAGAAAATGGAGAAGAAACAGGAGGGACTTAAAAGGTTAATGCAGCATCCTCCACTCTGCATAGTTGAGTAGTTTATCTGTCTTTAAATAAATATTTAAATTTTGTGTTCTAGGAAGAGGGATGAGAGGTTGAGTGGCTGAGGCCAAAGTAAAACAACAGAGAGGAAGGAAAGAAGCAAAAAATGGCTCAGATTGATAAGAACAATGATGAGGTATGCAATAAATTAGGTGACTGTGAATCACTGTTCACCTCCAAACAGACTGAACGACTTTGTGTGATTTATTTTTTGATATTACTTTGTGCAGCGTCTGGCACAGGTAAAGGCCAAGAAGGTGGCCAGAAAACATCAGGAGCTGGAACAGAAGAAATTGGAAGAAGAGCTTAAAAGGAAGATTCAACAAGCAGTGAGATGATGCGCTTTGATAATTTGTGATTTGTTTCATCACATATACAACTCTCTGCCACTGAACAGTTGGGCTGGAGATTACACACTGTTTAGCATGTCCACATGTCAGTGTCCCCGGCTCAAAAACAAAATTTCATTGTACATGTTACAATGACTAACAAAGCTTCTAACAAATCAGTTCTTATATTTAGTGCACTAAGATTTTTATATTGCAGTAACCTAAGACACAGGACCATGTATTTATATAAACTTTTATTAGTTTGCATTTTTTATTTTGTATGACATAACAGTGATCAATAAATCAGTTATACCCCCAGTGTAAATCCTATTAAAGATGTAAGCTAATTAAGTGTACCCCTTTTTTCCTTCCTCTCCTCCCTGCTGTGTAATGAAGGCTGCTGCTGGTTTGAATGTGACTTTTGAGATTGAGGTAAGAATCTAACCATCATTCAAACTACCTGTTTATCCAGGACTTAGGTTAAAATGGGTAAACACATTGAAGTTAGAAAATAAAATGTTCCCCACCTGTGTATGTACAGCAAGAACAGGGTTAGGGTTTGGTTTTCATAAACTCGATACTTGAATAGTGACAGTGATACACAAGAATAATTTACCTGAATGTTTTCAGTTTATGGGTGTTTTCTCTGCTGGGTTGTTTGCTAAGAACACTTTTCTTAATCTTTTCAGCGCTCTGTACTGGGCACACCTGAAGGAGAAGCCAGTAATCCCAATGTAACTGTGGATATTGAGGTGAATTTAATGATGCATTTTTGGGACACTTTGATTTCCATAGTAAAACATGATGGAAATCCTTTGTCAAAATATAATCTCCTAATGTGTCTTGTCCTTTTTGCAGCGATCGCCACAGTCGTACTGCATCCCTTCAAAGGGCAGCGACAAAAATCTAGAGGACTATGGGATGGACCAAAACAGTGACGACTCTGATGAGACTGCCCCAAAGAAACCTATTCCGTCTTGAGCAGAAGGTAAGTGTGAATTACTACCGTTGTCAGTTATCTTCTGTATACTCAAACATGCATGTGGGACTGTATTTTCTGTGTGGGGGCTACCTGGGATACATGTGCACATGCAAATGTTTATAACAATCTGTGGAAATAATATACAGGTGCAGCTCAATAAATTAGAATATTGTGGAAAAGTCCATTTATTTCGGTAATTCAACTCAAATAGTGAAACTCGTGTATTATATATTCAGTACACACAGACTGAAGTAGTTTAAGCCGTTGGGTCTTTCAACTGTGATTTTGCTCACATTTAACAAAAACCCACCGAATCACTATCTCAGTAATTTAGAATACCTCATAAGACCTATAAGAAAACATTTTTAGTGAATTGCTGGCCTTCTGGAAAGTATGTTCATTTACTGTATATGTACTCAATACTTGGTAGGGGCTCCTTTTGCTTTAATTACTGCCTCAATTCGGCATGGCATTGAGGTGATCAGTCTGTGGCACTGCTGAGGTGGTATGGAAGCCCAGGTTTCTTTGACAGTGGCCTTCAGCTCATCTGCATTTTTGGGTCTCCTCATTTTT